TCAGGGGCCTTCATCTTACATCTGCCTGCGAGCAGTTTGGAGGTGCAAGCTTTCTGAGCGTGTAATGTTAATTTTACCTGTGATCCTTTGAATAAATCAGCACTGTTTTGAAGTTAATTGGACTGTTCAGGTAGATTCAGCTCAGGTTATGAATGAGATTTATGTTGTATTCATATAACATTGATGCACCTGTTGAATTGTGAAACCAAGTCTTACTTAACACACTTGATATGAATGAAATGAATCAAATCAAACAGCTTCCCCAGCTTTGGCGCAAGCACTAGACAGATTTGTGCACCTCATTCTTTTAAAATTCTATCTAAAGCCTGACTATTATACCAACATAAGCCATAGAGGAAATCGATCTTTTAACCGGTGGAGTGGTAAAAGCAAACTTAATATAGTTTATACTTATTAGGCCAGTGTTAGTTACATTCTAAGTAAATGGGAAATATTTTGATCACTTACATAAACTCAACTCACATGAACTTAATGACCACTCAGCTCTCCCTCACACAAGCTGATACCAAATGTGAGCTACATGCTGTTTGATTACATATTTCTTCTGGAGTCTGATTTACTGCTAACCACCACAGGGCTAAGTATGGTCAGAGATAAACTTTTGTGAGGATCCTCTGCATAAACATGGGGTCCAGCGTCCTGTTTCCTAGTAATTCTAGGGGCTTCCCAGAACCGGAGTAAGAAGGGAGGGGGCCCGCTAGATGTCAAGATCGACATGATGCAGGAGGTTCAAGAAGTAGAAAGGGCTATATAATCAGCTGCAAGGCTGATAAGACAGACTCAGACTTGATGAGCGTGGGGGTGCATTTGGGGGGACTTGAGAAGACAGACAAAGACCCCAAACTGCAGAGAACCCAAGTCCAGGTGATTCTGTTTCTCTCCCTCTGAATTCACATTACAATATATTGTTCAATAAATGATGATTGGCACTGCAGTGATTCTCCCTGTGAATTAATTCTATACACAACACCGGCCCTTGGAGCTAAACAATAAATAGCATACAGCATATGCAGTAATAGCTATGTTTTTTAATTTAAAATAGATGGACAATGAAAATCCTCCACCATGTTTGTGTATAAGTGCTGTTCACACCTGCTGGGTTGATTGGGGAAGAGATGTCAGCAGACTGGGCTGGTGGTCCAGTGGCCATCTGAGCTGTAGGGGTGATAGAAGTGGTGGCAGGGGTTCCAGGATGCTGAATTAGCAGAGGAGAGGAGGCCTGTGGCTGGGCCTGGGGAATGGGTGGGACATGGCTGAGACTCTCCATGTCTTTCCTCATCTGATTAACCACAGCCCGCAGGATGCTGTTCTGCTCCTGCAGATGATGGATCTCCTCTGACGCCAGAGAGTTTGGCTTTGGTGTGAGACCCTGTTGTGTAGATAAACACACATTCTTTTGCAAAGAGAAGTGTATTGTATGCTTTGTCATGCTTGTATCGTGTCTCTTATAGTTTATGGCAAGTACTGTATTTATTTTGGGATATTTACTTAATATTTGCAGCTTTTACGCACTAAACATCCAAACTGTCCTTATTTACTTAAGAACCAAGGCTGGTGGTAAAATCTGGGGCACTGCTTAGCTAACACACACACACACACACACACACACACACAGACAAAGATTATAGCAGGGAGAAACAATGAGTGAAAGAAGACAAATACGCTTTAAAAAGAACTAGAATTACTGCATCGGTAGATGTATGTCCAAATGGATGTTTGTGCCAATTTTGAATAAATTACGGTACCTTAATTTGCTCCTGAAATGTTGTGTTCACAAGAATGGGACGGGTTGACAGACAGATGGACAACTCAAAAAATTAGAGCTAGAAAGAGAAGTTGACCACTAAGTGTGTGAAGTGGTTGTGAATGCTGGGCCAACACGTTTGGAAACACAGACACCCCTTACCTGACATCAGAAAGGTGTTGGGGAAGCAGGTTTGTGATGCTATCTGATAAGCAGTGTAGAGGGATTATAAACCCCAGAATACACACCACAGTACAACAGCAGCAGCAGAGCAATGGCACCAACCACCAACCTACTACATGCATTCTTGACTGTTCACCTGCTACTTTGTCTAAAGATCTCTGGCCACTTTGGGACCTACAATGCTGAATATCATAAATTTATCACTTATGACTGGTATCATCCTTACCAGCCTTAAAGCTGCTGTTGTTAAATCTGAAGAAATCACACCTTGATCCAATCTCTAAATAATTATTGACTGGTTTCTAACTTCCCATTCTTCTCTGAAGTGCTGAAGAGAGTTGTGTTCCAGCAGTTGTCAGACCACATAGCTAACATGCCTCTTCGGGGCAGTCTCCACCCAAGAAGATAAATGTAACCAGAAACAATGGCTCACACTCAGCTTTATGCCCCTCTGAAGGCTGGTGATCCTTCTCAGATCACTAGATTAGAAGCCTGCTTGTCTGCTTTAAAAAACTGGATATCACAAAATGTCCTTCTAAATTCAGATAAAATTGACGCTGGCCATTGGCCAGGCCTGACACAAACATCAGTTTGATAAGTTAACAGTAACTCTTGATAACTGTGTGATCTCTCAAACTTGACAATTTTTAAGTTAACAATTTACGTGTCACATTTGATCCGGCTCTCTCCTTTGACCAGCACATTCAAGACATCACCAAGATCGCCCCTTTTCACCTGCGTAACATAGCTAAAGCTAAATCCTTTCTTTCCACTGCAGATGCAGAAACACTAATTCAGTCCTACTTGGAATTGCTCCTTCATACATGTCTGGTTTACTTAAACCTTATATGCCAGCTCATACCTTCGGCTATCAGAATGCAGGGATCCTGAAAATGCATTGGTATTCATTAATTTTTAATTAAAAACTTGCATATTTAAATTATTTTTTCCATTATTGTTTTATTTTGTACTTTTACCACTTTATTTCTACTATGATGTATTTTATGACATTATAAGATATTTGTTTTTACAGCTGCTGTCTCTGACCCCTCGGCCTTGGTCCCTTGTGTGGCCGTTTTTGATGCATTTGAACCTGTAACTTTAGCCTTTTTGGAAAAAATGATTAGTCAGATTAAACTATCTGGCCTGACTAATTTATTAATTTCTAACATTCTCCATTTTGACACAATTTTTATTGTGTCAACCTAAATCAAATGTCCCTATTGTCCCCAGATTAGGCATCCAAGGAAGAGAGAGCCCCCCCCCAAACCACCCCCTCCAGGGAAAGCCCAGAGCTGAGTACCTAAGGGAAAAATCTCAAATAATAACATAAAAATAATGGCATGTAAGCTGGTCTTCATTGCTGTGATCCTATATGTAGGCCTCTATGTATAAGCCGGTCTTCATTCCAATTATACAACTTCCGGGTTGCAAGCGAGAGCAGATGTCTTTACTGCTCCTCTTGTCTGTTCTACACTTTCAAGTCTTTGAACAAACTCTACAACTATTAAAATGCCTCAAAGAGGGAGAAAAGCTAATAAATCAGAAGCGAATGAGGATATGGAGGCAGAAGAAGTGTATCACAGAGTGACGCAAGTAACAGACATGCTGGATCTGCAGAAACAGATGTACATCGTGCTGATGAACCAACAGCAGGAAAACTTCAAAGGCTTCGTGCAACTAATTATGGAGACAAACAACAAGAGATTCGACGACATGACCAGAGAAATACAGGAGATAAAAACGAGTTTGCAGTTTACCCAGCGAGAGGTGGATGTGATTAAAGCTGCCATGGGTGAACAGAAAATACATACCAAGGAGACGAGGGATGACGTCTACAAAAAGTGTGAGAGTTTAATAACTATAATGGACAAAATGGAGCAATTGGAAGCACAGTCCAAACGAAAAAACTTGATCTTTGAGGGAATCAAGGAGACAGCTGGAGAAAGCTGGTCGGAAGCGGAATGCAAAGTGAAGGAGATTCTGAAGAATAATCTGCAAATTCATCATCATTGAGATGGAGCGGACTCACAGAGCCGGGAAACCTTCTGATCGTGGTCCAAGGGCGGTGATGGTAAAGTTGATGAAAGAGAAAGATAAGTCACACATATTGCAACAAGCAAAGAAGCTTAAAGGATCTAACATTTATATAAATGAAGATTACACCGAGTCTGTGAGGAAGAGAAGAAGGGAATTGCGACTAGTGACCAGACCTCGGAACCAGGATCCAGGACCCAGGACCAGCACGCCCAGGATGCCAAGACAAGGAGATGAAGGGGTCGCTGGACCCTCAGATGTATGAAGAAGAAACACGCAGGTATATTGATATCTGCGACGGCAGATGAGCGTTGGAATCAACAACAACAAGCATGACCCATGTATGGAATGAGGCAAGTGATTTGTTACAGAAGTTAATAGATTTTGAGGGACTGGAGCTGGAACTGAACACTATTGGGAATACTGAAATTCATTATGATGAACCGGACGAAGATTTTGACCCTGATAAAAACCTTTTTAAGAACTCTGGAAATAACTGCAAGTATTACACGGATGAGCAGTTTAACTGCAATGTCAAGACTGAAAATAATTTATCTGTTAGAAACGCTCGACACACAAATGAGCAAGTGGAGAAACAACAGACCCAGGCGGCTGGCTTCGATGCAAGTAGTGGAATTTATTTACAGTGCCAATCAGTGCGACAATATTTACAAGAATGGTAGAGTGGAGAAAAGACCGGGTGTCGATCAGCGGTGGCAGGAATGGCAGTCAATGGAGTGATAATGGGCTGGGCTGCGGTATAGGAGTCACTCCTGGACTGGTCGGGTAGGAGATGAGGATGGCTGAGGAGGCAATATCAGAGAGACAGATTACTGAGGACTGTGCATCGACCTGTGAAGGCGGTGACTGGTGAAGCTGAGTGTAACCAGGGTCCAGAGAAGAGGTCCGATGCGGAGGGAAACCAGAGACGGCGGGGCAGGACAGGAACTCGGGTAGGCGCAGGAAAGAAACAGAAAATAAACAACAGCGGTAACATACATGGGGAGGCCTGAAGACAAAGAAAGAACTAGTAGGGGAGTGATCGGTGAGCAGCGTATAAATAAGGAGGGAGACTGACGAGGCGCAGCTGGTGAGAATCAGTGAATAGAGGCAGGTGTGTCTAATCGTGTAATCAGTGCAAGGGAGCTGGCTAGTGCGAGGAAAAGAAAAGAGGAAGGTGCCACCGAGCAAACCTGACATTATCACTAATTCACTTTAATAGCAGAAGTTTATATGCAAACTTTCAGAGTATATAACATTATCTTAGTAGTCTAAAACATTCTTTTAATATAATTGCTATTTCTGAAACTTGGATTAACACTGTAAGGGGAATGGATTTTGACCTTGAGGGCTATGACTTGGTATGCACAAACAGAGAGAATAAGATGGGAGGTGGTGTGGCCTTGTACATAGATAAAAACTTTTGTTATAAG